ATATATATATATATATATAATATATATATATATATATATATATATCACACGAGTTCTTAGAGTTTATTGTTTTCATTATGATGCCACCGTAATTCTTATATAGCCATCATAAAAATACAATGTAACATCGTAGGATGATATAAATAAAATGCTTTAGTTAAAGATTTTTGTATTACATTTTTTAATAGTCAATTATTAATTTGCCAGATTTTTTTATATTAACTGTATTATCAAGTATTATCTTTTACAATTATAATTCAAATATATTTTTTGTAAAAAAAAATATGAAAATGCAATATATGTTGCAATTATGTGATAATTTTAACTTGTTGCGCATTATTTTTGTAATCAACATTTAATTATCAAAGAGAAATTATTTAATTGCGTAGATTCAATTTATAGGACATACACTTATTGTTATATGTTGTTTTCAGGGAGACCAAAGTTACTACCCCCCAGAAGAAGGTAGTAGAAGAGGAAAAGGTGGTGCAGGAGGAAGTTGACGAAGATTCGAAAGCATCTGAAAATGGGGATTCCAAGGAAACCAAAGAGAATGGCTCGAGTGAGGAGAAAGAGGTTGACGAGAAGGAAGCAGAATCTACAGAAAATGGAGATTCCACAGGTATGTATTATTATGAAAAAAAAACACTTGTAATAATTGAATTTCCATGAGAAATACATAATAATAAATATAATTCTGATTGTAATTTTAGATGCTCCCGCCGACAGCTGTTGCGTAAAGAGGAAATCGACGGCTGCAGCTGATGCAGCCGAGGATGCACAGGATGGCGCAAGTCCTGAAAAAAAATCCAGACTTGAAGAAAAGTGTGCCGAGGCCGAGAATAACGGCGACGCGGAGGAGGCCACGGCCTAATATTCTCTCACGTTTATTATTGACAGACCTAATCTATAGACGCAATTTTAACTACTGAGTGTGAAGCCAGGGCAGATCGATTGTCTGTGTCTTTTCAGAGAGAAGATGGCGAGCATTAAAAAAAAGTAAAACATTTGATGTTTATCGCATTAAAGACTTTTTGTGTTCAGGATGATTGTGTGTGTCTCTCACGGTATTTCTTACAATAGTTAATTGGCAACAGCGACACGAGTCCTACATTTGTTGTAAATCGCAATTACATTTGATTAATGTAAAGTATAAATAACTATGTTCTCTGTACTGGCATCCACATGCATACATATTATATATTCATTTAGCATTAGAGTTCTAAGATAAGGAAGTATACCGATAACGTTTAGAAATAATATATATTTCTAATTCATCAGGATAAATGATGATGCGGTGTCTGGAAAATGGGTACATTTGTGCAACATAATATTTCCACCTACTGCTAGTCCTCATTATTTTCGACGCACAGACACACACTTTGTAGTTTATACATATTAGACATATACATACCTTGGACTATACATTGGAGATAGAATATGGATATTTTTCTGCGAATCAAAATACATTCCCGAAAACAGATTGTGACTTGTAACACTATAACTGTTCGCCAATAAACTGTTAAGAGAGCGCCATTTCTATAACTGACATATATTAGATCTTGAAAAAATCAAGATAAACAAAAATTAATTTATATAAATCATTATCACCATATTTTCCGATAAGTGTTAGAAAACTTGAAAGCTAAATATGTAACAAGAAGTAAAAAGAAATTTTATGTAAAGAGATTTCATGATTTCTTTGACAAACATCTTACAATTTCTAACATGCAAATTAGTAATTTGTGTGTGCTATCACATAAACTAATTTTGAGATCACAACTTTCAGTCCTGTGCGACTGAATTATTAAACTTTTTATCAATACGTATTAAGAAATATGTTTATTCATAAAAAAAAAGGAAAAAAAATTGCAGCTGATTTAGCCCAAAAGTTGTGATGTTCAAATTAATTCGTGTGACATAATGTAGATTAACTATTAATTTGCATGTTACTTAAAACTATTGTTTTTGTTAGATAAATTATATATTACTTTTCCCAATTTATGTTACACATCTTTTATAAAATTTCTTTTATAAATTTATAAATTTTCAACATTCATTGCAAAACAATGTGACAATGATTTATATAATTTTCAACATCTTATTTTGCTTTATATATAATTTGTCGATCAGTGAGGATAATAACAATGTATGTTTAAGATTTAAAATGGTAAAATGTGTTCAACAGCTAATACAAATAAAAATGGTTCTCTATATTAATATTGTAAAATATTTTCCTTTACAGAACAACAGAACATGATAAATTTTTTCAAAAGCATTACTAAAAAAATTAATGGAAATTATTGTTTTATGACCCTACTTGTTTTTATAAATTTTAAATACTTGATAAAATTGTTGAGTCAAAGATTTTTAATAGAATGTAAATTAAATAATAAAATATCGTAAAGGTATTAATTTTATCATTTCCTAATTGCTAATAAGTAATCTTTGTATCATTTATCTCTAATCTTTACTAATAAAACTTGTGCGTTGTGCGCTGATCCACGTAAAAATAACAATGAGGCAAGAGCCATCTATGACACAAGCGAAAACTTTCCACGAATGTTTATATACATCGGATCAGCTCCGTACCATTGACATGCGATTATATTTATTTGTATTTTATTTATACGATTTATATTTCCTTGTTTAAACAATACATAGTTTTCTTGTGTTATCGTCGTTTTTACTGTTCTAAGGATGTTTCGACCAGTTTTCTCCAAACCAGGTAAGGTTATACTAATTAGATACATTTTTATTGCGATTTTGTTAAGTGTAATTGTATTCAATCTTTACATTGTTAATTATTAAAATTAGCAAACTGTTTTAGTAAGAAATAATTATATACTATTATTTTGAACAAAAAATTGCTTACAATTTGGAGATTGTTCACTATTGCAAATCTAACCTATATGATTTGTTAAATGCATAAAATTCTCATTTAATTCGAAATTTGGAAGTTATAAGACATTAGATATTAATTAAATAATTTTATTATTCAGGAGATAGCATGTGGCAGGAAGATAAGCCTGATATTGATGCCCACTCGTCAACGCAATTTGTTTATAATGCACACCATTCACTTGCACTTGACATGCAACGTCAACGACTACCTATATTTAAAAACAAAGCTCATATTATTTACTTATTGGAGAAATATCAGACCTTGGTTTTAGTGGGTGAAACAGGCTGTGGTAAAAGTACACAAGTGCCTCAGGTGAGACTCGAATGTACAATTCTTACCTGTTAATAAGATTCAGTTAATAAGATTCAGCAGCACTCTATATTGTATTCATTATATTTACGTAAACATATAAAGTTTTATAAATATAACGATTAATGCAAAAGTCTTAATATAGCATAATATCTCAGTATAGTAATATGCGAACTTATCTACGTTACAATTACTCGTCAAGATAAAAGTAAACAAACAATGAATCTCCTATTTTAACTGTAAAACTGAAACGTCTTCCAGTTATTTATTTCTTCAAAAATTGTAAATTGTTTAAAAATCGAATCTTAATCGAATCTCATATCTTTCTATACTAGATATTCAATATTATATCTACTATGCTTTATACCTATGCATCATGCTAATTGCACTCGAATGTAATGTATACACTGAAAATTTTGTATCTGTGTAAACAACTCTGTTACAAATGTTGGGAATTACTCAACGTCAAGATGATCTATACATATACAAAAAGTATACATAATACATCAAGAAGCATCAAAACCACTGTGTTGACTTCTAGCGTCGAATAACGGTTTTTGTTTTCATTGATTATTCACAGCTTGGAACCATAGATTCTTATCGCTTCGCCTTACGATTAGCGTTAAACATGATAAACATTGTTACCGACAGGATTTTTCAATTGTACATATACGAACTTTGTATCTGACAAAGCGAAATTCAACACGCGCAGCTATAAATAGATTTCTGCGTATGAGAGTTCTGTGCATTAGAATTTAACTACAAACGTAAAAGAGTACGAGCGTTCGACCGTAGAAATATTCTTCAGGGAGTTAAAGAAAGTAAGAGAAGTGCCAAGTGAGAAAAGGCGCGTATTCTATCATTCTTATCGCGTTTGCGTTATCTCCGGGCAACATATATTAGAATTGTTTCCTTGGGAGCGCGCATTTTAACGCGATTCGTGTGAACGTCCGACAAGCTCGTGAATTCTCTCGGATCGGATTAAGAATAGCTACGAATCGATCTCTAATATTACCTATTACGGAACAGTGAAGCCTGTGATTCGTAGAGGCAACATTACTTCTGTCCTTGATGTCGTGCGACCGTGTGTATCGGCGTTTTCGCGACCTCACCACAAAAAAAAGTCGTAAACGGCAGGACACGTGCGCTGCCGATTGCGTAGCACTTATTATAAGGTAGACAGAAACTATCTGTTGCTATCGGTTACTGATACGCGTACTATTATCAGATGAACAAAGTAAACGAGAAGTGTTATATAATAAACATTCAATTAAAGTCTGAAATGTAAAGTATATATTAGAACATTATATAACAATGACTCGATAAACTATCCGAAAGAGTGGAATTTGTGCGACAAAAGTGTGTTCGGTTTCAACGGAGAATTGACTCTAACGTTGTAATTTTTTATTACAAGGACAATACCACTTATCAGTATCATCCATTAGATGATCAACTATTAGATAAGAAGCGTAGGAAGCGCCCTTGGAATCACTAAAACTTTATTGTGTCAAACTTGAACTTTTGTAGTAGCTTAAACATGTAAAAAGGACTTGAGTGCATCTAGAGAAGAGACGAAGAGGACCGTTGAGAAGATTATCATAACAATCGGTCCATTCTGAAGCAATGAGCATTTCGACGAAATTTTGATGACAAACACGTTGAATTCTGCGTGAACAACTAAAAATAAAGCATAATAATCAACCGTAACAACAGAAGACATCGGCCTTAATTAGATAAATAAAAGATAATAATCAGTCGGTAAATTAAAAGTAATTGATTAAATTAAGTAAAGAAAACGACAAAATTAGGAGAAAAAGATATAGAGACGAAGATATAACTCGTAACGACTGTCAACTACCAATCTTCCAAGATGTTCCATTTACCAACGTTCGCCAATAAGATGTGTCTATCAATTCTGCTGCTATTGCTGCTGTACTTCGTAGGAATGGACATGTTACTTTACTTCCGCGTGCAGGATTATGATGTGCGTCCACATACGAATGATACGCAGGCTTCGCCGTATCACTCGCTGATCAAGTGCGATCTGGATCCGATTTGCACGGTGACGGTGAAGGCCATGATGTTGGATCATCCTAATCATTACATCTTAAGCCCCTTGGCATCCCTGGTGGATTATCTGTTGGACATCAGTCACTCCTGGACATGGCTAACGCCGAATATTATCAGCGTTTCTCACGTGGTAGTGGCTATAATCGGCGCCCGATACATCACACGGAGTTCTCTTTCTCACAGACGAGTGGGTGTCATTCTATTTCAAGTGAGAGCTTGGCTGGATAACTTGGACGGTCACGTGGCCAGGACGAGGCTCAACGTCGAAGGCGAGAGATCGGACGTCGGCTCTATCGGATATCTTGTGGACGGCGCTTGTGACGGCCTTGGCTGCATTGCTCTTGTGGTTGCAGTTTTCCTCTTCCTGAAATGCAATCCTAATCGCCGCGCAGGATACGAACGACTGCCAAGTTGGACAATATTGTCATCATCGTCGTCATCGCCCTATAATACCGCTTCGTCGGGTTCGTCCTGGAAGTTGCCTCTGTATAATACGTTGATGGTAGGCCTTCACTTTTTTCTGACGAGCTTTGCTTGGAACCGGTACATATTCGTGTATCAGGATCTCCTGGAGACTGACAACAGGGATATCCTTCCGCTCAGCCAGGAAGATCTCTACAACAGACAGACCATCGTCTTCAGGAGCTCGTCCTTCTGGACCATCGCTCTCGCTTGGAAGATCTTCAATTTCCATGCGATGATGGATTTCATGCTTCTGGCGATATTCCTGGATCGCGTCTGGGAGTACGTTAGACTCGCATGGTGGCAATTACCTGCCGTTCTGTTTCTGCTTATTCTGATCAGCGAACTACATTACACTAACGCATACGCTTACGTTGAAATATCATCGATGAGAGAGAGTTTGCGATTCCTCTCATTGTATACTCTTCCCGATCCATGACAGTCTATTTCTCATTACTATAAGCGTTTTCCGCTTTTATATATCTAATCGTAATTATGTAATTCAAGAGCTTATTTTTAACTTGTTTTAAACATTATTTTAATAATTAATTACATGCTTATAAACGCATAATTTTTATGCATAATTTATTGTAACGTTTAGCTTTAATTTTTTTACTAAAAACTTAAAATAGTTTGAAAGAAAATAAGCTTTCAATTAAGGTATAGGGTTGTATTGTAATAAATGAGTGAATTTGACAGTAATTATTAATTATAAACACAATAATGTTGTGAAACGCATTCATATTTTCGAAAATAACAAAAATTTCTTTAAAAAAGTTAACATTTTAAACGTTTAGATTATAACAACAGTAATTTTACATTTCTATAGGAGACAAAAAATAAATATTCTAAAATCGAGGAACTATGTTTTGTAGAATGCAATATAAAAATTACAATTTTGACATTTAAAACAGTTAATTATCACAAATTATTATTTTATTGTTTAATATTTTATTTTAATTTGATACATTAATAAACAAGTGAAAAATAATGTTTCATGTATCAGATATTTTGTTGTTAATATTATAACTTGTTGTTATGTCATTAATGAAACATATAATATAAAAATATAACTTATATATTATACTATTACTAAATACGTATTCTTAAGTCGCAATGAAGAATTTTCTGAAATAATATTGAAGTTTTTGAAGATGCATGAATTTACTTTACTTGAATACATAATATGAAACATATCTTAAGCGAATTTCGAAGTCTTGCAAAGTAACGCGAAATAATGCGCAATGCTCCGCACTCGAATGCCTCAATGCGAATGGTGTTTTTTTTCCATTATTACGACGTGGGCGACATATATTATACTTACATTAAAGTAGGTCAGTTATTGACTGTAGTTAGGCATTTTTATCTAATCCAGTGCCAAGAGCGTTACCTAACTACAGCGCGGACATATAACACGCGTACATAAAATTTGTTACATGTACGAAACAAAAAAAAACCGTAAGCGTCGTAGTGGTTTGCGTAACGCGCAATCAATGTCGATAGTCGCATTCGATGTAAGGTTTTCCGATGAATTTTATAATGCTGCAGCTTGCCATGTATTATTTTTATAACAAAAACGTATAGTATAAACTGTTTTTATATAAATGAATTATCTCTGAAGTACATGTTGATCTGTGTCCCTTTTGTCCAAAAATAAATCGGTATTGTACTAAATAGACTTTTCACAATTATACAAATGAATCTTTCCCATACTGTACATACCATAGATATTAACAAACATTAATACATACTTATTGATAGATAATATTTATTAATAAATAAATATTTGCACATAATAATACATATGTATCATGGATACTTCATCGAACGTTTAATTTTATATCTTGACATCCGTATATAATAAAATGTCTTGAAATAAATTAATACCTTAACATGCATAAACCACATTTATCATTCCTCAGTATCTTCTCGAAGCAGGATGGTGTGCAGATGGAAAAAAGATCGGCATTACGGAGCCTAGAAGGGTCGCAGCCACCTCTTTGGCGAATCGCGTGGCTGACGAACGCAATTGCATTTTAGGAACCACCGTGGGTTACTGTATACGCTTCGATGATTACACTGATGAAACCACAAAGATTAAGGTGCGAGATCATGAACGCAAGACAAATAAAACGACAAAGTGACTTTTATGTAAACGTTCTACTTCATATTCGTTGCGAAAAATCATAATTAATACTTGTATTTAACACACTACTTATATTATGACAAATTAGAACTTGTTAGCATTTTTTTTTTATTGTTATTATTTATGTATATTATAATTTTGTTTAATGTAAATTGTTTTTATAGTACATGACAGAGGGTATCCTTTTACGAGAATTAATGAGCGACCCGTTATTAACAAGTTACTCGGTCATTATCTTAGACGAAGTGCACGAGAGAACGCTCTTGACTGACATCATAATGGGACTGCTGAAAAAAATAATCAGGGTAAAATCATTGATATTAACAGACATAACTTTCCTCACGCGTGAACCGCGATAAATTAACACTGAGCTAATTATATTGCAGAAACGGAAGAGTTTGAGAATTATCGTTTCTTCGGCGACAGTTGACGCGGAGGAACTTCGTGATTTCTTTAACATAAATACGACGAAAGACTCGAGCAAAGATAGTGCTGTTATCATGAGCGTCGAGGGGCGGTTGTATCCAGTAGAAGTATTTTTTTTGAAAGGTACACATAGAGTCATTTGTAATTAATTCACCATTATATAGCTCTCTCACTACATTAATTAAAGCCATATGAATTGCGTTGCAGAGCCAGTGGCAAATTACATTAACGGCGTGGTAGACACCACTCTAAAAATACATGAAACAGAAGAGCCAGGCGATATCTTAGCGTTTCTCACGGGTCTTGATGAGGTTGATCAGGTCGTTTCTCTTTTATCGGAACACGCAAAGCTCATAAAAGACGGCAAACGTGAGTGAATTACTTCTAGGCATTTTTATAAAATTTCTAAATATTGCAAATAACTTAAAGAGATACAATACCAAATGCATATTCAGCACCGTTATTAAATTAATAAACTGATTGTTAGCAATACTTAGAATTAATTTTCTACGCAATTTTCCACTGTTATTTATTATGAAGTCGATAACGTTAATGAACAAAAAATTCATGAGATTTATTTCATTGCGAAAAACAGAGTTAACATATTAATGACTAGAAAAATTAATTTTTTTTATTGAGACAAATAATTGATTTTTAGAGAAACTGTTTCCGTTGCCGATGTACGGATCGCTTCCGAACGCGGAACAACTGAAAGTATTTTGGAGAGCTGCCAAAGACACTCGCAAAGTTATCGTAGCGACCAACATTGCGGAAACGTCTATTACTATTCCAAATATTGTTTATGGTACATGCGTGCTTTTTTTATGAGTAGTTAGTAGTTCGATATTTGATTCATGACGTAACACAACCGGAATTTTGTAATGCGCAGTAATCGATTGCGGTTTCGTCAAGATACCTTGGTTCGAGGCGGAAACGCAAACCAACAATCTCGTTATCGTACCGGTATCAAGAGCTTCCGCGGACCAACGAGCTGGCCGTGCAGGCCGCGTTCGTACAGGAAAAGCATATAGGTAAAGGAAACAAACGAGCAATTATCTCGGTTGCGTTATATAATAATACATTTTTAATAATTATGATACACTAGATTGTTAGTTAGTTATCCTTTTATGCATTCTGGCTACAAAAGCTCTATTGTGCTGACTGATAAAATTATTTTGCGATCTCACATCAGATTGTACACAGAAGAGGCATACGCAGGATTGTTCGAGGCAACTCCACCTGAAATGCAACGATCAGATTTGGCGCCGGCGATACTGCAACTAAAAGCACTGGGCATCGACAATGTATTGCGATTTAATTTTCCATCCGCACCTCCTAGCAAGAATCTAGTCACGGGATTAGAATTGCTTTATGCGTTAGGCGCGATTGATGGCAATGGGGATTTGACGATGCCTTTAGGCTTGACAATGGCAGAAATGCCTCTGGAGCCGGTGCTGGCAAAATCCTTAATTGTTTCTGGTATGAAAAATTGTAATAATTAAACATTTAAAAGCAATATGTAATACAGCAAAATCGTACTTTTTCAATCTCTAAAAATATAACAACAGAAAATTATAATTAGACTAAAATAAATCATGGCAATATTTTTTTTGATAGGTGAAATGGGATGTTCCGAAGAAATCACGATGATATTTGCCATGTTGCAAGTTCAAAATGTTTTTATACAACCTGGTGGAGGACAGGCGGCTCTAAAAGCGAGAATAGCGCATCGCAAGTTCGAAGTGGAAGAAGGCGATCTTCTTACCTTGCTGAACGTTTACACGGCTTTCGAGCAGAATAAAACACCCGCCTGGTGTCAGAAACATTTTCTCAACCATAAAGCTCTGCGAAGAGCCACGGAAATTCGCACACAGATGCACAAAATGCTGAAACGCTTGGATATTCCACTGATATCCTGCAACAGTAAAATCTAAATTTCATTATAAATTTAGTGATCTTATTTTTGTTAATTTCTGATTAAAAATAGCTATTGTTTATTTTTCAGAGAATATTCAACAAATTTTGAAGTGTTTGACAGCTGGTCTCTTCCCTAAAGCGGCATATTTGCATTATACAGGCGTGTACAGAACGGTTCGAGGTAACAAGGATTTGTACATTCATCCGAATAGCTGCTTATATACTCTACAACAACCACAATGGTAAATATAAAAGAAATTTTTTCTTGTTTTGTCGAAGTTTATATTTATCTCATTTAATTTTATTTTTTTCAGGTTACTATTTTGCGAAATTTTGCAAACTAATAAAGCATATATGAAGGATTTAACTGTTATTCAGCCAGAAATTTTGCTAGAAGCAGCACCACATTTTTTTGAGAGGACGTCTATTGAATCTATTTAAAGTATTTTGTATGAATATAAGATGTGTATTAAGATATATGTATTAAATACATATATAAGAATAATTAAATCTGTATATGTAATTATTGTCTACTTTATAATTAATGTAATAGCACATAAATGTGATATATTAAAAAATATATAAGTTTTTTCCAAAACTTTTATTAATGGGGTATTATTGAATAAAGTTTAGGGATTTATGAGTACAATTTTCTATTTTTTATATGTAAGAATTATATAAATATATCTTGTATTTTAATTAATATTAATAGACACAAGTTTGGAAAAGAGTAGAATTGATACTGTATCACTATATAACACCGTGTTAAAATTGTTCATTTTATTCAAAATATATTTCTTCAGTCGCACGAAAAATAAAAATTAATTCCGTTCTTTTTTAACATACTGTGCAATTTTAAATCATAAGAGGTGCGCATATATACATTTCTTATCGAATCTGGACATGTCTGTAATATCCATTGAGCTCTATAACGTATTGGAGTGAGCCTTGCAGAACTCAATGGTAATATCTCGATAAAAGACATTTGGCATTGTAGTTATGAGAAATCGTCAACAGGCGCTTTATAACATCCACGAAATTGCAATATTTCTATATTTCCTGTAATCGATGGTTGTAGTGTTTCTAGTATTTGAACATATTCGAAGCAATTCGAAGGTTGCTAAAGTTGATTGCCTGATTTTAGCGAGAGGTTAAACTGTATGTTTTGCTGGAAGTTGCAAACAATCAGTTAGTTATATACTGTTTGGAGCAACTTGTCGTATTTTATATAGCACTCCTTGAGCAACTATGGCGTATGTATTCTTTATAAAATTTTTATGATATCAAAGTAATTATGATATAGAATATATCAGGAAACATACATATGATTGAAACCATATGTTCTATCAGTTTGATATTTTCTATCCAATACAGAGTACAGTGCAAATTGACATAAGATGTAATATGTTGCAGGTCTAAAGTTACTTTCAGAATAACTCTCACCTCCGATCCCAATTTGCCATACAAAGTGTAAGTGAATGTTCCAGATAAGTTGTGTCTTAATCACTTACAATAATAACATGCAAGAGGCCTATTCTGAATTTTTTAAAACTATTGATGTGTTTTTTACACTTCTGCAAAGTCCAACCATTAGTGAACAAATGACTGTAGAAAATGTTACACGAGCTTTTAATTGCGCTCATTTCATCGAAGTTGCTATTGAGAAAATCCAAACTAAAGATCAAAAATGGAGAGATTCTTTTGAGAAATATTTAAATAGGAAATCAAAACGAAAATTATTTCCACTAAACATTACATGTTCTGACTTGGAAAAAGCTTGTGATAAATTATTAGAATGTTACTTGAAAGATAGTTACATTTCTACCGAAGTTGTTGATGAATATTTAAAATTGTACACTCAAAAATTTGATTGTGACAGATTAAATGCTTGCTTGAAGCAAGTGCTAAGCAAATCTATCGCAACAAATATGATTATAGAATCCCTAAAAATATTAGGAGTACCATTGTCTTATATGGAAGACCAGGCATTAATTATGTCATGGCAAATGGCAATAGCTAATGGAGATCAAAGTGAAGTAGCTGAATGTGTAAATAGAATGTTAAATGATGGTCATGTTTCAAGACTGATACACTTAACAATTGAATCACACGATGATGTAATTAAGAAACTAGTTATACAAACCTTCACTTTAAAGTTAATTGCTTACGATTCTGAAATATGCATAGCTTTTACAAATACTGAAAAAAAATTACTTTTAAAATTACTTCAAGCCGATATCGATTTTTGCATAAATTTTATTGATGCAATATTCTACTTTAGCCGAAATATGTATTTGATAGATGGAAAGTGGTGTTCAGATGTTAAATTTGAATATGAACATTTATGTAAGATAATTACAATTTTATTAAATAGTCCTTGTACAATTCGGCAACGCGTATACGATAGAATATTGGCTGTTATAGATTGCTCTCAACCGAACAGTAAGATATGGAAAGATATAATTCCTTGGATTAAAAACAGTGATAGTGAAAACAATATTAAAAACGATAATGATACTAAAAATGACACTAAAAACGATAAGGATACTGAAAACGATCATGATATGAATAATTATGATTATGAGCATGATATAACTTGGATTTCCTCCCAAGATTTGATATGATTTATAGCAACATTACTTATGTTTTATACTATTTTATGTAATTTTTGTAAAACAGAAAATAAATTGTTTTTATTACAAGTATATCTGTCTTCTTAACAGAATAATTACCAATCCTGTATCAATAGATATATAAAACAGTGTGAAAAATACATTTATAGCAGAATATTTCTCTTTGCTATAACTTTACTTTGTTATAACATTTTATCGGCATTTTGTGACGTAAGAAATGTATTTATTGTTTTATTAATTTCAGGCTTAGTGTACCAGAAAATACTCCATTTACTGCTGTATTGAAATTCGCTGCTGAGGAATTTAGAGTGCCACCAGCTACATCAGCTATAATTACAGATGATGGCATAGGAATTAATCCTCAACAAACTGCAGGTATAAATCTCTTTTCTAACATATTGCTAAGTTTCTATTTTAAATATATAATGGCTAACTTTTGCTTCCAGGGACTGTATTTCTTAAACATGGCGCAGAACTCAGGCTGATCCCCAGAGATCGCGTTGGATATACTAGATGATTCTACAACATATTGAATTTATTATGATCATGATTTTGCATAACGTAAACGATAAAAGAGAATTATTACTGGCAAAATATTATAAAAGTGCATAGATTTCGCGATTATAAAGATTACATTTATTCACAATAAAAACATTCCACGTGCTTTTTGAACTAATCGATGTCCCTGATCGTTGTGAAATCTATGACTCAAATATATTAAAAAATTTTTTAAATTTTGTATTATATATACTTTTACATATGTCATATTATATTTATATATGTCAATTATATTTATTAAATGGAAAGTGTTTTGGGAGTGGATATCAGAATTAGACACGTGATTAGAATTTTTGATAAAAAGTTTTTATAGCTGAAATACATGAACGGTATAAGATTAATATAAAGATACGTCATTATATGATAAAATTATTTAGAGAGCAATATCATTTATAAAGCACAAGATCGAGTGGCGAGAAACGTTCAGAGTCTTGTACTTCTTTCATTATGGATCTCCATCTCGAATCTTGTGCTGTAAAAGATTGCGGCTTTGCTACTCTGGTCATAAATGGATAGAATTTGCTTCAAAACTGCAAAATGGTTACAAATCTGAATTGTAATTATGTGCGATATATAACACATTACACAAATGGATTGAATAAAAAAGTTACATTAAAATATACAACATTGTTGTATCTCTTCTTTCATTCTACGATACAAAGATCAATAGTACGGATGACATAAGTGACGGCAACAAATTTTAGTGAAAGTTTTATCTTATTCTTTATCGTCGAGATACTTATAGAAATTCTGTTAATACTTTCGAATGCTTTGGAATATCTTATAGGTCTAAAATGTGCAAGATACAAAAAATACTATTACTAATAAATTTTTGGCACTATGTTGATCTTCAAGTATACTCATATGCCGATATAAGTGAAGAAATCAAACATCGGTATTAAATTTCTTATAAAGGAAAGTCACGTTGGCATTTTTTTTTTTTTTCCACTAACTATAAAGACTGTTTTTGGAGGACATAGTACCATTATTGTATAAGACTAACAATACATATGAAAGAGAGAAATTATTCTGAACATTTATATGAAGTAACTACCAGTTGTATAATCGTGGTATTCGGTATTCTGACGAGAAGAGTATAAAAAAGATCAGTCATTTTCTCTGAGTTAATGTCGTTCGAATCTTGCAGAGTGCTCAACGTACATTGATTGAGACGTAACATACTTTGCCGTACAATTAAATTATTTGCTTACAATTTATTATTTCTTACGCGTCGTATTTATTATCTTGTATAATGTCTTTTATATGTGCGTTATAAGGGTACGAAATATTGTAAAAAAACATTTGCTTCACATGTTTCTGCGACAAGATCATCACTTGCTCTATTATCACACTTATACGATGATAGATTATATTATGACATACATTGAGACCATTATTGACACTGACATGGCATTATCGAGACAAAAAGTGGCACTAAGGAATGTTGATTTTATATTTAAAGACCTAAATAGTATTGATTTAATACAGTTTTTTTTGTTAGCGCACAGAGTGGATGTTTGCATCTGTCGCTTTACAAATGGCACATATTATAAAATTTTTTTTATCTACGTAAAAAATTATTCAGTCTACTACACTCTTGATTTATAGCGAATAATCAAATACTCGTCAATAATTGTCTCTGACACAATTGATATCGTTCACACTTGATATTGCAAAGCGTAATGAATATATTAGCATATTTTTGCTCTAAGAATTATTCATCCACTGAACTTCCAAACTGATATTCATAAATAGATAGATAAAACTATTGTCAAATTGTATTATGTGTTTCTCAATTCTCTTGACAATAATTATAAGCATATCCTATATCTAATATAATCTCTACATTAGTAATAATACTATAGATTTGTAGCTAGAAATATATGAGAAATCAGCAGTTAAAGAAAAATTTGAGACTAGAGCTATAATCACGCATTTGGTTTTATAAGAACAGTGTTATATCAACACTGGACTATATCAAATATTGCATTGATCACATCGCCAGGGTATAAATCTCTTGTGACATTTACTTTTGTTTCTCCATTTACTTTAAATTAATGTGATTTAACAAGGCCTGAATTCTTATTTCTATGCGTTGAAAAGTGCGTTTACAAAATCTTAAGCTAGGTTTACGAAAAAATGAGTATTGTTATAAATTGATATAAAACACTGTACTTATCGCCTGCCTTCTCCAAAAGAAAATCGTTGGAAGTATATCTCTCTGATATAACTGCTTCTCGCTCTGTACACAGTAACACTGCGATGTTCTTGCCTTCGATATATAATTCTAACTTACGAATAATTTACGGCTCCAACAACTACTTAATTTTTTCGATTTATCGATTTTGCGTTTATCCACAGGTCTTCCATTTTTACTCGTCCTAAAATAATAATATTCTGTTATTAACCAAAAATAATAAAGTCTTGCAAATATATTTTACATAAATTTTCTTCCGATTTCAAAAATTATTGCTCCTTGCTGCTATTTTTGAAACATAAACTTTAGTTAAAAAACATTTTTTCACACAAAAATAAATTTAATAGTTGTACACACATAATATACATAGCTACTAAGAAACATAGTTACAGAGAATTTAACTACTAACAATAAATAATTAGCTCCTTAAAAAACCAAACTGTGTCACAGCAAATGAGATACCTACCCATTCGTGTTCCTCGACACCTTCCATGTGATCTTGTTCCAAGGAACACTGGATGACATCTCCCACAAATTGGCTCATAGTTTTCTGGATCTGATTCATACATCACACAATACACTCAAATAATATCACAATGATAGAAGCAAGAATGCTTCGCAGTAGCAATTTTGCAGGTCACAAAGAAATTTTTCCAAGATAGCAAATAGTATACAAAGCAATTTTGAATATTTTTCGGGTGCATCACATTTTTTCGTGACATTAAAGAATAATCAGTCACATTTTACAATATTGCAAGTCATTTGAAAACTACACATCAAATGTGAAAGCCTACATGCATTTCTTCAATCATAATCTTACTCCCCCAATGAAATCTGCTTCACTGCTAGGCGGTATTTTGGAATAAGTAATTTTTACGCCAATATCCATGTATAAATGACACATGCAAAATGTATGAAACCTTGCTATCTTACCTCATCTTGTTTTGCTTTAACGTCCGGATTCCACCCTAGTCTGAAGGGTTGTGCAGACATACCGAAAGGCATTGGTGACGGTTTATTTGCAACTTGAGGGGTAGTAACTACACTTTGCGATTGATTCTCAGTTACTGTAAAAATAAAAATTCATATGTATTAGACAATCGTATTCTTTCTATCTTAACAACATTGTATAGTATCTTTTACTTACAGTTATCCATGCCAGGTGGCTTGAGACTTATTCTAGACGGTTGTTTATTGCCACCGTTAAACCATTCTGTCGCGGATAAAGTCGGTTTCCAGATAACTTTAGTTGGAGGAAAGAGATCGTCTTGGAATAATTCGCTCTAATTGAAACAAATAAATGTGTGTATTACAGTTTTTATATGTTAATGATTTCACGCTATGTCTATTATTTAGTATATACCTTTATGCGCGGCACGGTAAAGCTTAAAGGTTCTATTGTGTTATTTGTTAGCCTCAAAGCAGAAGCAAATTCTACACTGGCCACGTCGCATTTATTTTTTGGGAGGAATGACAAGCCCTGATGCAAACTACTGCACCTGTGATGGCTCAGTGGACAACAATGTGGAGCTTCCTCTGTTACTTCAAATACATATATTGTAGAATCACCCTAAAAATTATATAAAATAAAATGATTGTAAATGTCACATGTGATTGAAACACTTGATAGTAAAAAAAAATCTTACACGTCCAGTTAGGAAAAGCGTGGAGCTATCTTCATCGTAATATGGCATTAGTATGGCAGGCGAAACGTCCAATCCAACAGTGTTCAAAGGCGTATTCAGATTATCCACTTTAAATACGTAAATTTGTCTCTCAGAAACTCTGAAATGTATAGATTTCACATAGTAAATATTCTATTCTCAATTCTTTTCTTTTTGTACGAACAAAAGATGCAATTCTTTATTGCGCTTACTTGTCAAAGCCCATTACAACCAGATATTTGCCTTCGAGTGCCCATACAACTCTCGCCCCTCTCGTGCCCACAGGACCTTTTCCTTCTTTCACAGGGACATCACTAGATCGAGGCTTGTAAATCCGTAATTTGCAATCTTTGCATGTGCTGGCAAGAAACTGACCGCACGGTGACCACGCTAAACTAAATATTTGATCCGTATGACCAATCAGTGTGATTTTCGCAGTTGCCGTATCGGTAGATGATAAGAGTGATAGGTCCCAAATTTTAACGGTCATATCGTACGAAGCAGATGCGAGGACATTCGACGCCAGCGGATGAAACTTAATCAGATATATCTTGTCAGTGTGAGCTTCTATGATATGCTTCGGCTCGTTCGTCGGTTCAGCCAAACCAGATTCCGGTATTTCCCACAACCGAATTATTCCGTCATCACAAGCTAATGCAAACAAACAACTTTTTAAAAAATATCTTTCAAATTTATGAAATAAATATATTTTAATTTCCAACTTCTACACTTTACCAACTGCTAATCGCTGATTGTCGAATGGATCCCATTGGAAGTCCATTACAGTCGCGCCGTGGACCAACGCTGGCATAACTCCATCCGGTAATCTTCCGGTCTTTTTTAATTCCAATACCGCTATCTTTCCGCCTGGGCCACTCAACGGCACAGCTACTCGATCAGGATTAGCTGCAAATTTACAAAATTAAAATGCTTGTCAGACTGAAAAATTCCTTGCTACATAAGATATACATTCTTATTCTAAGAAAAATAATTTTACCATGAAAACCATCGCACTCGCCAGATATTTGACGACTGATATTACGTATATTCTCGATATGCGTAGATTTGTGTCCTGGAGTGCCTTTCAAATGCCGAAACTTGGATACTTTTCCTGTGGACGCAGAATTAAAAAGAATTAAAGGGTGCATAAACAAAACAATTTTGTAGATATGTATTGAAAGTCTTACCAAAAACTGTCGATGTTCTTTTAGAAACTGGCGTTGCAACGGGCTCCGGCTTTTCCAACTTGGGATCCATGCTCTGCTGCCGTAACATAGGAATGCTCTTTTTCGTTTCATCCTCTTTAATCACCTCACTCTTCGCCTTGAAGGAATCTCTTCGTCTCAGCATGGTCGGCGAGCCCATCGCCTTCTCCGCCAAATTTCCATCGGTGACAGACACAGATCGACTCTCATAAAGACGCCGTCTTTCGGCGATTGAGTTTCTGTTCGAACCGCGTTCAAAGTTTCCAATGTCCTCGTTCTCGGGCGATTCGTCTTTCACTTTCGTTTCGAATACTTTCCGTCTTTCCGCAGTGCTCGGTGTCTTCGGCTTGTATCCAGAGTCGCTCGAATTAGCATCCTCCTCTATAGAACTGGAATCACTTTTGCCGTTTTCCGCGTCCTTGACACGCTCATTAGGCGCATAAGTCGGTGACTTGTCCGCTTCTGTATTATTTAACTCTACAGCATTATTAACGTCGTTCTGATAACCATTGGTGTTGTTGTCATTATTCGGCGCGACTGGTACAGAAAAGACTTTGTCGAACGAAAATTCCTGACTGCTGGATTTTGCCTGGAATGGTTTGGGTCCAAGTCGAGGCTAAAAAAGAAGAAAAATGTCTCATTCGACTCTCCATTTTGTAAAAATTCTTCTAAAAAATTCTCATAAAGAAATGATTGTTAGTAATGGTATGCCAGTGATGACGTAAGTGCGATATAAGATAAGACTAGCCGCACGCAAAAGTAGTCACGCATTGTGTCCTAGAAATCAGATATTCTTTATATAACATAAGCCTATTCTTTTCTAAGCTGATTACAACCTTATATCCGCCGATCGCGTTAGGATTCACCGATGTAACTACTGATCCGGGATTCGGCGATGTGCGAGGGCGTGCCACTGGTTTCGGTTCCTCCTCGGAGATGCTGTTTGTTCTTGATGCTCTTGGTAAAGGTTTCGGCGGAACGGCTTGTCCCCCATTTTGTATTTTAGTCTTATCTTCTTCTGTCTCGGGTTTTTTCACATCTTCGATCTTCTCGGTATCGTTTTCTACATTGTTGTCATTCTCGTTCACGTTGCTCTGAGCTTTCGGCGCGGAGAAACCTTTCGGCGTTGTAATGACCAAGGAGGATTTCGGTTGCCGAGAATTCACTTGTTCCACTTTAATATCGCGCTGATTGTCTTTGAGCGCCGTTAAGTTCCCTTTGTGTACCTAGAGGTACGGTAAATTCCTTAATGACCGCAAACCGCAGACAAACCAAGCTACACTGTCCGATTTTGCACTTTTGAAATGCATTTCTGCATTCGGCGCAATAATTTAGCGACAACAGCAATTTAGCTACATTCTTACATTTTTACACACATACGTATGCACATGACTCGCACTTTTTGTACAAAATGAACAAAAATGTATAGAAAACGTAAATAAGCCTCAATAACTAAAATCTAAAATTTCACAACTAAATTTCTTGAAAGCAAATTTGCAGAAAGAAAAGTCTACTTTATGACTATATACAAATGTTTTCACACTTTGTACTCTTACTTACGCTGTAGAATAAGCTACAACATCAATTGCCACTTATATTACACGTGCCAGGAATAATAGTTTGAATGGTGCTAATGTATAAACTATAAAACATATATTGGATATCTGAAACGTGAAAAAAAATATACAGAGAAAATATAGAGAAAGAAATAAAATAGCGCAAAATATATATAATGAGTAATAATTAATGAATATAACGTCCTGCAAAAGTTTGAATATAGAGAGATATTTCAGTATACTTCAAATTATATTCTACTGGCAATTATTTATATACTTGCAATACATGTAATATTATATCAGTGACTACTAAAATTTATAGTATTTTATATAATTGGACAAAATACATATTGCAAGCACTTGTTACATAAAATTATATTAGCAAGCTTATATGCTTAGGAAGCAATAAATTCATAATGTAACACCTCTACAATTGTGATAACTGTTACATATAAAATAAAAATTATACTATCAAAAATCGAGTCATTTTTATATTGCAGTTTTAGTGTATAATAACAATCTATTTAAAAATCGATTGCATATAAGCACCATATAAAATAAATATACAATAGACATATCACAAACCAATATTTAGCTTCAAAGTTCAATTGTTTTAAGGCAAATGATATGGCAACGTTAAAAAAAAATTGTGATGATGAAAAGCATGCATGTGATTGATGATTTAAATTTAAAGTAATCATATAACTGATATTTATACAAATGTAATCAAATGAATCTTTTTGATACTTAAAAAACTATATATTTCAAATACCACATTAAAATCGATATCAGAAAACATCCACAGCATTTATTAAAATGTTCACTCACAGTAATCGGTTCCTCGCCTTTGTTTCTTTTAGCAGGATCCAGCGATATCTTTGGTACAGGCGCATTATGACCTTTAATCCATGCTGCTGCATTATTTTGAGCAATGTAACCAGCTGTCTCTGGATAAATGTCCGCATGAAAATCTCTGTATGTCTAAAATTAAATATTTATTTAAAAAAAAATGTAATATGCGTTATGTGTGTGACAATTCGTAGACAGTATTTGATGTAGCTTACTTTTCGTGGAACTTGATACATGATTGGAATCACCATATTGGAAGTAAGTTGCAATAATCTGTTGACTTCAGCCTGCATTACGTTTAACGCTCGTTTAGGAACCAGGCAAACACCTTTGGTTTGTTCACCGCTATGACGAATTCCTTCTACTAAATGAGGATCTTTATCTGTGACTTCCATGTATATGATAGTAGTGTCTCCTTTTCCAGCGAGGAAAAGCATATTCGTATCAGAATCAAATAGAGGCATCAAGATGCTACAAAATACATTAGATATACAAATAATAATCTAATAATGTTAATTAGTTTAAAATAATACTTGGCACACTGTGCAGCAGAATAATTAAATTCAAGAAATTTATAATTACCCAGTGCTACAATCTAGTTCCAATGTTTTTACTGGATCATTTAAATGCCTCAAGTCTCTGATATAAACTTGACGAAGTCTTGCCGCGTCAAATCCTGTGGTAAGTATTCTATCGTTATTTAGCCAAACTATTCTGGAATCTTTGATACTTTGATGACTGGAGCATGAGTTAACAATACACGTAGATACGCGTGGATCTATGATCCTGACTTGTTTGTCTTTGCAGGATGTTGCTAAAACGGAACCATCTTGCTTCCAACTTACAGATTGTATTACCTCTGTATGATCTGCACTGTTAGCTGCAATCACGGCACAAAGTTTATGAATGACAGTAGCAAACAATAAGACAACGTGTTCATGAAGTTTCAAAATATTTACAGAATAGCTCCTGTTGAGAGAGAACATCCCAAAGTGACAAATTGGTGAATGACACAGTGGTCAGAAGATGTTCAGCAGAAGGATGCCAGCATACTGATTCCACTCTTCGTTGACGATGTGAAAATGTGCATTCAGGATTGCACAAAGATTCTTCTAAACCACTTTCTGGGATATGCCATAACTTTACCTAATTTTAATGTAAATTTTTTATATAATTAATATATTTAATATATTTTTCATTATATATTATTTATAATACAAGAACATAATATGTGCATTTTATCATTAATATATATTTTATTCATTTTTAAACCTTAGAATCTTATATCATATCATTTGATAGATTTAGAACTTTACTGCAATACATTAAAGTTATTATATTAACATACTTATATTTTAGAATTCTAGTCTATTTCTTTCTTTAATATATAAGATTTTAATACATTGTAGTAAAGTTCTAGGCCTACCAAATGATTATCAAGTATGCCTTCCTTAAGAGTGGACATAAAAAACAAAGTTTCAAGTTACTTACAAGACAATCCTGAGACCCAGTTGCAAGCAAGCCATCGTGAAATGGAGAAAAATCCATATCTGTCACAGTGTCTGCATGTGCATGAAGAAGTGGCATTGTCTTACTCTTTCTACCACAGTCTTCCAGTGGTAATACTGCTAAACTGGAACCTTCAAGAAAAATTTTATTATAAAAACTTAAGGATAAATAAAAATTAATAGAATAAATCCATTGTAAATGCTGATATATACCATTATGGTCAACATTGAATGCCATAAATGCGGCAGATGCTGTTATATTATTCCCATAAGTTTGATATGATCCCACAGAAATATCTCGAATACAAGCCTCTGGTTTGGGAACAATCGGTGCAGCATTTTTGTATTTAGACGCTTTAAAACGCCAAGCCATTTTGATGCTGCTAACTCAATTTAGATTTCCGTTTAAATCATGTAATCTAAAGAAAGTTAAAGTTATTAAGTTATACATTAAAATACATAACAATAGATTTTAGGACACATTGGATATAATTGAGTATTATATTCTCTGCCTTTACACTTGTAACGGTATAAAATAATAAAAATTAAGATAAAGCACTTGATAAGCATATGTATAAAATGTTGTATTTTTCAGACACATACAAGGCACAATTCTGGCAAAACAAAAGCGAGCGTTTCTGAAAACTTTTACTCTCGCAATTGTATTTTTTAATTAAAATTTTGCGTAGGATGCAATCACTTAAACACAGATGCAAATAAATCGCTGGGCGTTGCTCCCGACTCGGATAATGGCAGAGAGAAATCAACGCCAGCCTTTCGAGATCGCGTAAACGGCGTCGGTGATGTACGAGCAACGCTGACGCGGTCATTCGGCGCCGCCGAGCAAAGCCGTGCGTGACTAATAATTTGGGGGTGAGAACCACCCTACCCTCCGTTCGATGTGGGGCTGTAGATCGCTGCTTGGCGTTGCCGCAATGACGCTGTCAGAGTAACGTGGAATCGCGATAGTATGCGACAGCAGCGGGGATACTCACGATTCGCAAATCGAGGTGCATTCACGTATGCTTTTGCTCCAGACTTTGGAAACGTAGCGGCGATAAAACGCAACGAAAAGACAGCAAATCAAGCGTCCCTGCTGTACGTCGCTGTTCTACCAAGCTCTACGGTTGACAGCCGGAAACAGGACATACATACTGTGTAGGAGAATCCCCTTCCACCTTCTTCTGAGGCGCCGCGCTTTATCCCTTCTCCGTGATAACATTGGCTACGTCAACGGTTGCGCAACTGTTGAATAATTTGCTTACTATGGAAAGCTGTTTTCTAACACTGTAAAATTTTCCTATGAGCAAAAGAATGTTTTCTCTTATCAAATTATATTTTTCTGAGAACTAGTTTATCGAGAGCATTTAACTTATACAAAAAGTGAAAAAAAAAAATATAATTGATAAAATTATAGACAAAACTCCTAATGTATGTATGAGAATACATATGACTTATCGTTAACTTATACTATTTGCTCGTTTTGTTGAAATTATTTTTGGTAATATAAAGTTCTATATTATTTATTTGGCATTTAATATATATATTTTGATATTGATATACCTTTGAAAATAAAATCGCTGAATAAAATCCATGAAATTAAAGAAATAATGTACACTTAAAAAGATTTACAATTCTGTGGCAATAAATTCATGCCTAATAAAATTGATATTATTCCTTTAGAAGAGCTAGCTGTAGTAGAGGCATCACTTTTAACGAAGATAAATCTGCTAATACAGCCTGAAAATAAGAATATATAAATATATAAAAATATATACAATTGTGTGTGCATACATTTCATATATTCGTCTTATACCTCTACATTTTGTTGAGTATTAACTTGCAGTAAATTTTCTTTCCGAAAACTCAATATTGTCACTGCCAATAAGGGAATAATTTCCAAAGAGTCATATCCCAGAATTAGATCCCAAAGGTATAATAATTGTTCAGGTGGTAAATGACCACTAAAACCCCTCATGAGCCATTTGAAAACTATTCTTATGCTGATAAAAATGCATACATATTAAATTCAATGGATTATGTAAATTAAATATAACAGAAAAATGAAGTAAACTCACGGTTGAATGTGTATATTTTTAAAATGAGCCCACAGTTGCGGTTCATGGCATTGTAACAATCGTTCAAAGAGTAAACAAAGAGCAACTATACCCTGTTCATGACTTGATACAGTGTGCAAACGAAACCAGTATCTCAGATAGAATGCACGAAAAGTATAATACATTGCACAGGGATCGTCATATAAATAACAAAATGGTGTGGCTGGAATAAATTATTAATCTCAATTAATAAATAATTAAATTAAAAGATTATATCATACTTTCTTATTTTCTTACCATACATTGTGAATCCATGAAATGGAATAACGCCACTCGGTGGAAAAACTAAGGTATTTTCTAATGTTGCTGGTTTGCCTTGCAAAACCGCATGAATTACTTGACCACCAGCACTTCTGTCGGTCGTGACTGGTGCAAGTATTTCGGAATCTCTTGAAAAGCATAACATTGTCTTATACAAGATATCTTCAAACACAAAATACTGATCGTCATTTCTTGCTGTTAACTGTACATCCTAGTAATATCAACATATATAATTTCTCTTTATTTTACTTAAGAGGATAATGCAACTTCTTTGAGAAATATAAATTACCATTATTATCAATTTGTCCACTACAATATCATATTGCAAAACCAAATTTTTCAATTCTTCATAATATTCTACATCCTGAAAAGAAAGAATTATCTATGTTCATGATTAGAGATGATATACATCAATGATTCATAATACATATCAACTTCTTGCAAATTAATCATACATTATCTTTGATAACAGATCCGAGAACGAGTGACCAAAGACGACCACGTAACGCTCGAGGAGATCCCTTTTTAAGGAATTCTTGAGCAATTGGAGCATGATTTGAGTTTAATACTTTTTCGCCAATGTATGTTCGCTCGACTTCTAAATTTGGAAAATTTTCTATAGCTGGCATATCAGGATTTACTCCAAGTAATGGCACACCCTGTGCCAATTCCAAATACATACGTCTCTGTACAAAGAATGGTATGTTCTATATATAACTACATAAATTGTAAATTATAAAAACAATTCTAAAATTCGTACCAATTGTGCAAGTGTTTTTACACTAATTTGTATGTGACTAAAATCCCAATTCAGTTCATCTCTGCAATGTTTTTTTAAAAACTTTATACATATACTTTTATTTAAATATAGATTAATTTCTGTGCAAATCTACACACAATTGCTTTTTAAAGGAAGGATCACGTATTGAGAACAGCACATCCAGGAAGTCCTTTGGTGCATACAATGGCCGATACTGTGATAAATCTGAAAATTATATTTGATTTTGTAATATCACTGATACCCTCTACAAATAATTTCCAAAAGAATCTACATTCTATCTTCAAATTCAAAATAAAACTTACCGATGTCGTAAGTACTTAATTCATTCCATTTTTCAGCTAATTCTTCTCTATCAGAAGTAGGTCTTATTCGAGCCAGTGGAATGTTTAGTTCATTGCATGTAGAGTTCAATGATTTTTGTATACGTCGTTCCCATTGAATTTGAGTCTTTTTCAAGTAACTCAAATCTGTTATCTGAATATGCGGAACTGATCGCGAATGCAGTGAGCTCTGCAAAGAGATACATTTAGCAGAATTTCAAAAATGCAATCAATTACTCACCCTTGATCGTGCCCAATGAAATACAGTGTTTCTGATTTCCGTTTCCAGGCCATTATTTTTCAATGCTGTGACCAATGAGTTTTTGAAATCATCTTTATCCACAACGGGCGATGCGACGAGTCTCTGCAAAAAAATAGACAATTCTGAAATAACATTTTGTTTGATGGGTATTTAACAGCAAGTTTTAGCACACACCTGTATTTCGTTATAAAGCGCTTTATAATTCGACATGTTCTGTATATCATCGGTAAGCTTTCGCGCTGTTTTGTCGAGCGATGCATTTTCCGCGATGTCCTCGTCCATTCTCGCAAAATCCTGTCTTGTAAATTCTCTCGTGAATGCATTTGAAGAAAATTAAAAAGATGCGCCATTTATAAACAGCTGTTTCTGAGGCAACGCAGTGCAATAACGCCAGATTTGAGACGCAAGCAGCAGGCAGCATGAGGGAGGGAATACCGCACATATGCGCAAATCACGTATATACATGTGAGCTCCGCGCTTCGGCTACTCCGGACACTAGAAAGGAGCAGACATACTATTTCTGTCTCCTTTCTTGGCGGCCATTTTAACTGGGATTTCATGAAATTGTTAACAGGAGCACATGATGATATAGGAGCTTTACTCGGAATGTATTGATGGTAAGTGTACCAACTGCACTAGTCGGTACACTTACCATCATGTACAGTCGTTATGTTGTTTTTAGCTAATCAATAGGTGGCACTGCTCCGAGTAAAGCTCCTGTATCATCATGTGGTCCTGGTAACAATTTCGTAAAATCTTAATTAAAATGGCCGCCAAGAAAGGAGATAGAAATAGTATGTCTGCTCTTTTCTAGTTTGCGCATCTGGCCATTCCAGCACGTAATCTGATTTTTTCTACGTGATTATTTTCGCTTCTAGGCTACTTTTGACAGTGTAAGGATGGTCGTAAAATACTTAAATAATGAAAACATCTCTTTTAAAATTTTTGGAAAGTTTGTTATTGTAAAATTCGAAATGCCAATCGTTAAAGAAATTAAAAAACGACGTCTTGTTTAGGACGTTTTTAGGACGTCCTAAAAATGTCCTTTTTTTTAGAACGTCCTAAAAATGTCTTATTTAAGACGTCCTAATATATGTATGTACAATATAATGTATCATGATATTAAATACAATCTGAAATAAAAATTATTCACATTTGTATACTTTTACTAAACTCAATCTTGCTAATTGATTATCGCGGACTGTGGCCGATCTACATGAAAACGGATGTGAAACGCTTGATAATATACGGCATGCTTCGTTTAATCTTGTCGCTCTCGTACGATAGAACAGATTGCAATCTGTTTGTTCATATTGACAACGTGTGTGATGTTTTATTAAACGTGGAGAAAAAGCAAAGTTAACTGTAACTGCGTAAACGAGCATGTTCTTGTTTCGAGAGCCCCCTCTTTTTTTTCTTTCTCTCTCTTTCTCAATGTACTACTCTGTCACAATCAGCATTTGTCTTCTAGCAGGTTAATACGGCGATTCGACGTTTCGTAGCGCGGCTTTAAATGCAATTTTTTGTCAGATAGCTATACCTCAGGCTTTTCTAAGGCTAACAGCGCTTTTGTAGAAAAATGGCGTTGCAATAGCCCTGATATTGTTTTGAAACGAAAATTATCATTGACGATCATCGAAGCCGCGAACAAACATTATGGATATTTCGAGTATGCTTGAGGTTCAAGTTAAAGAGGAAACAGATGTTAAAGAGAACGGTAAATTTTTGGCTGTGAGGCAGTGTTACTCTTGATTTCACCTGGACACCGCTTAGTATTCTAACCTTTACTTACATATGCCATGATTTTTCAGTGACACCAGTGAGAGACCAGACTTCTACAAGCACAAGCATGGCCAATCTACCGATTTCTCAGGAGGAAAGCAATTTCTACAAACACATGTTCGGCAATGGTCAGCTCTCTAAACAAGAATCTGCATGCCTTCACTTGTAACGAGTAGTTCATAGCTTATAGTTTAGTTTCACTTTCTATTTGTTTCCTAAATTTTGAGTTTGTTATGAAAGATATGCATTATGAAGCAAGCAAGATATGCATTATGAAGCATTATGTAGAGAAATATAGAGATTGATATTTCTGCAAATTGTAAAAATTGTATATGTTAATGTAAATATTTGACTTTTTCAGATATTGCAACTGTAAGATTTCGTAGACTCCATTGTACGGCTTGCGATACACACATTGGTTCTGCTCCGGCTCATGCTTATAACATGTTTAAACATCCTGTACTTTACACATTGTTGTGCTCTAATTGTTATGAATTTTATGGAGATGGTAACTTTGAACAAGGTAATATAATAATTTGATTTTTTTTATGTAATATGTATATTTATTGCACAGGGCACATTTTTATGATTGTATTTATTGAATTCTTAGGTGATGATGCCACAGATATGTTCTGTAGATGGTGTGCAAACGGTGGAAATTTATATTGCTGCTCATATTGCAGCAATACATTTTGTTATAGATGTATAAGAAGAAATTTTACAGCTTTGGTAAGAAAAAAAATTGAAGCTGATGAAAGATGGAAATGTTTTGTATGCAATCCTAATGACTTGTATACCATGAGAGCTGTATGTTGGGCTTTACTTCAACATGTGCAAACAGTGACAAGGTATCATTGCCATAACAATTTAATATTAGAAGCATTAATTTTTATTAAATTATGTTACTTAAAAAAAAAAACACCATTACTGAAATATACTATAACTATTGGAATGTTTCCTCACATATAAATTTGCAATGCTTTTTTTATCAATTTATCTCTTTTTTCGTTTTAAACACTTTGATAATTTGTGTTTTTGATGATGTAATCTACAAGAGTGTCTATAAAAAAAATGAGATAAAAAAACGTTGTCCACTTTGTGGATCTTAAAAAAGTGTTTCAATGTGTAGTATATAGTTCATTGTACGCTGTATAAACCAAGACACCTATAAATATTTATATTAAATTTGTATATTTTAGGATACTCAAGAACGATAAGAAAATGACTCCCGAAGAGATCGAGGAAAAGATGAATTTAGACGAGTCTACGTGTTGCCCGCGCAGAAGTAAGCGCAAGCGGCGAAGACTCGATTCTAATTCTGAGGAGGAGGACGAGACATATACACCTAAAGTCAATGGGATACCGGTAATGTACACGAAACGGAAAATCAAGAAAATCAAACCGATCACGTATACAAGTCAGATCACTAATCCAAACGGCAACGTTACCAAACAATTACAGACCTATTCCAATCAGCCTATTCCTATCAGGCCACGTCCAATTGCGCTATTGAGCGGCCAATCTTTTAATCAGACTGAACCACTGCAAACTGTGATCAATCAAAAGGAACGAACCAACTCGTCGGACAATATCATGGTTTCGTCAACAAATATGATGAACTCGAGTGCATCATTATCGTCGAGATATAATGCTGGTGTATTACAAAAACAAACACCTTCATTTCGCACGACTTTTATGAACGCCATAGCATCTAATGCTTATATGCAACCATCTACTGCAATGAACACAACACATCAGATCATCCTTCCGGCACAGACATCAGTACCGCTTCAACCACAATCACAATCACAACTACAATCACAGCCGGTCTCGTATCAATCATCACAGCCGATCTCGTATCAATCGTCGCAGTCGTTGCAGTCTCCGCTGAATACAATGGTATCGATACCCAATTCGATGAGCCAGTATAAATCTCGAATTCTCCTTCCAAAGCAAAAAGAATCCAATCTCACGCTGATTCCCAATATAATTGAGCTGGACAGCGACTCTGACGATGAGCTAAAAGTTGTTGAGCAACCAAATGTTTCAACAGCCAATAAAAATGACAACGTGGATACTTCTTCTAACAAGGTAGTACCTGTCGCTCTCGCGTGGGACGATGACATTAGAGAAGAACAACCCTTAAGGATAATGCATGCAACCCAAAAGGAAACGAGCGTCGGGTCTTTCAAAGAGACAATGCTACCGCACAGTCGAGAACTCGATAAACTTTTCAGTGATGTGAAAGAAAAAGTGTGTAGTTTCTATGACTTAAACGACGCGATTCAAGACATTGAATTGGCGGCGGAACAGAAAATGAAACAGTACTACCATAATATGTGCAACACGGTTCTTCAGTTAGCGCATATTAACGATAGAGTAGTGCGTGAATACAACGACTGGATGAGGTCTCGGAAGACGGAAACGGACATGCCATCTTCAACTGACGTGAACGCTTTGACGTCTCGAGAAAACATAGACATTTCTTTAGACATGACTTGCGTCAATGATTCTGATAACGAATCAGAGTGCGAGATAAATCAGATAAAGGAGCCGTCGGACATTGTTAAAAGTAGTAATATTGTTAAAAACTTGTTATTTTATAAAAAGGACGTTGTGCATCGTGGCGTTGGTAACGATAGTGTACAGTTTATGGATAAAACGACTCAGATGTACGATGTCTCGAGGAACTATGACAAATGTATTTCTCATTGTGTGTTGACGAAAGCGGATCAGCGTTCGAAGGCAGACGACACTGTTTTGGAACCAGTGGCACCTGATAAGAATTTTGGCAAGTATGAAGAACAGTTTATCTTTTACTTGCAGCACATTGAGGATCATGGCATCGAAACGGAAGATATGAAAGGTTTGGACAACTCGGTTGAAATATCGCTTCAAGAACAGATAGAAACAAATTCACCGCAATTGTTCGAAAATATCGCTTCTGCTAATCAGTCAACAACCTATGAACAAGAAATAAATTTAAGGAATGGAGCAGCTGAGGATGACAAAATTGACACACCAGTAAACATAGACGATAAAGACAAAGAAATTGTTGATAATTCGGATTTTGATATTAGAATAAAAGACATAAATATACTTAATGACATATTACAAGAAACAGAATCGCAAAAAATATGCAGTCATACGACGGACGCAGATGCAGATGCATTGGTAATATCAAATGATGATGCTATGAGTTCAAGTAAAAATATTAACGACGCGGTAAATATGGAAACAACTGCTTCGGTAGGAAGTGAAGAGGATTGTACTATTATTGATGATTAATGAGAGGTATCCTAAGATATAATTAAAATATTCTCGCTATTCTTTCAGTTACAATCTAATCGTAAAAACGTGTTTAGAATTTGTATATTTTTTTTACGTTTTGATGTATAAACATGATTTAAACTGTATAAAAGTTGGGTAATTTATTTTTATATTATAATAAAATTTGTAAATGAATTTAAAAAAAGCTTATTTCCACAAAAAATAACAAAGTGTGTTTTACATTTTCTTTGATATTTCTAGATGTTTAATGATATTATTAGATCACAACTTTGCCATAAATTGAGTTTGACAAATATAAATTCAGTTTGATATATTTTAGGAAATAAGCTCTCTAAATCTCATATCTAAATTAATGATAAACAAAATTTTCCTTAGATTGCACAATCAATCACTTAATGGCATATGTTCTATTACAATCTTCGAAGTTTTCTATATCTAGAAAGTTTATAATAACAATTGAGAATGAGAAGAGAGAAATAGAGAGAGAGAGAGAGAGAGAGAGAGAGAGAGAGAGAAAATAATGATAATAAATTTTTATTTCTGTCTTACTTTGTAATATTTTTTTTTATCGAGCACATAAAGGAAAAACAAAAACACATAATCATTACATAATGTAAAAGTGTAATTTTTATTACAACGTGTCTCTTGATTTATGATTCTTAATTCATTTACAGCACATTCGTCTAATATGATGTTGCTATTTATTTTCGTTAATAAACGAAGAGTGAGTAATTTAATTTACTAAACTTAAAAAAAAGTTCCAATATCAAAATGTTGAAATTATAATAAAAGAGCTAAAAATTAAACATGATTCAGTGCCACAATATACATCTTACATATTCACTTTTTAATACATTTACATTTAATTCGTCAATGAAAAGGCAGCTTTATTTTCTAGATTTGTACATATTTAGCACAATTTTTTTTTTTTTGAGTTAAATGATTAATTTGTTTTCTTCGAAGATATTGCATACAAAAGATGTACGACACACACAGAAGACAAATAACTATTGTTTTATTACTTCATACATTAGCGAAATTTAAAGTGATCGTCCAATAATTTTATTTAGAAAGAAAAACATACATTTTTTTCAATTATTGAATAACGAAAATTGGAGGTTATTTTAATTTTGATATTTTTTTAATTTATGATTTACTGTAAGATAATACAATATTAATTGCAGAAACATGTATATAAGAGCGTGACGAATGCTCTGTGTAAAAGACTTATGATTTATGTTTTCATGGCGTATTACCATGTATTCTGTGCATATGTGTATGTAATGGATAACAGATTGACGCATTTGTATAAATATACATATATGCTATATTATGTTGTATTATATTCCTAGGTACTTGCGTATTTTATAGCAAGCATTATGATATGTATTATAGAGTTGTGTGCGTATATTTGCGTGCAAATCTTATGAGAACGAATGTATGAAATATGAATAAATTGTTTTATATAATATATGTTAGATTATTTTAGATTTAATATAGTTTTATAAAACCTAATAATTAGGCCATTAAGCACTTCTGTGGCCTGTAAATCGTTCAATTCTGTTTAACTTCTGTTCAGTTACGTCTGAATAAAATTAATATGAACAGGCAGCGTAATGTAATTGTTCTTTGTAAAAGTTACACATAAACGATTACAGCGATAGTTTCTCTTTAACATGTCTCTTTATTTCATTTTTCTTGTATACATATATCAACTCACAGAAACATAACATTCGTCCAATCTCAAATATATAGACATCTTACTGTTAGTATATTGATGATACTTGACTTATATTACATGTAAAGACGCTTATAAGTCTCGCTGTAATGATTTCGCCATAAAAAATTGTTCATCTAATATCTTAAGATGTTTTATAAACGTAGCGATTGTACAAAAAAAAATGTGAACTTAATAGAAAACTAAAGAAGCATTATGCACTTTCTTGGACGATTTATATATTAAAAAAAAAGAAGTTTACTCTTTTCTCTTTTTATTACTCCAATACGAAAAGCTTTTCGTTAATATTATATTACTTGCTGTCGTTACTTACACTTATACATATTCTATACAAATATAGAAACTGATGATGTATAGCTCGTAGAACGTATTTGAGCAAGTAATGGTCCTGTGAAAATGGTTCATATAAATAATAATGTTAAGAAACGAAAATGGTAATGTCGATAGGCTTAAATTAACAAATTAACAATAAATGCGATGCAACGAAAATATATGAGAGCACACATCGTCGGCACTTCATCGCTGATGAAGCGTTGCATTGCGGAATCATTGTTGCAGCGTTGCCCCTAGAACTCTTCATTCGTCCTTATAGATAACTTCCTAGTATCGAAATTGACCTTTTCTGCCCATTCCATTATGGTATACCCTCAGCGGCGTGTAATTTCCATTTCCATTCATCGCTATATTTGCAAAATCATTAAAAAAAATTATGAAAACGATGAAAATTAGAAATATAACGCGCATTAGGAAACAACTGACAGATATTTCTCCTTGATGCATGCAAAGAAAAGGGGACATTTCAAGGAAATGCGCAGAACTGATCTTTTCCGATCGTGATGAATTTCGATTATCGTTGAAATCCAAATAGACAGTTCTGAGAATTTCCGTATTAGAAAAGACATTAGATTACACACATATAAAATACATGTATTCCGAAGAACGTGGAGTAGAAAATCTCAATCTTACTTGATCACTTACTCAATTCGTAATCTCTCATGGCAGCTTGCAAAGTTAAAATTACGACGCATATGAATTATATTACGTCACATATGAATAATTATATATGCGTAATAATTGGATAGAACGCAAGAATTTGATTAGCATATATGCATTAGCATGTATATTAAAAATCGCTTACCTTGCACAATCGTGGAAGGTTGACGGGGACCTTGGATGGTGTGTGCATGACATCTCGGTTTCAGTAGACCGTGGTACAATATGAAATACAAAGCAGCAACGATGGCCGCCGCTATCGCCATACAGCGATACACGAATCTCAGCGAGAGTACGATATCCTCGTCACCAAAATTGATATAAGCACCGATGACGGCTCCGAGGCACCGGCCTGCGCGTTAGAGAAATCAATAATTCAGACCTATTGACCGTATTCTGTTACAATGTTAAACCCGGGGACGTACCGATGCAAAAGTGAGCTATCACAGGCAGCGCTTGGGCAGTTACAGTCAAATGACGCGGTACCAAGTGTCTCAGATAGAGAATGGCAGTAACCCACATTATTCCTAAGGTGAATACTTCTAGAGCCTCCGAAATTAGAGACCACCAAGGCCCCGATACGAGACTCAGTCCGGTGAACCTAATCAAAATGATCAATCTTATCAAATTTATGAAATTAATATGAAAAACTTGAGTGATAAAATTTTTCTTCAACAAACACTCGCGGTTATTAAATTAGAAAAACTTACCTACCTGATTATGTACACCGTGAAGGCAGTGATGAGAAGATTACTGTGTCCACAGTAGTCCACAAGATGTTCGGATTTCCATAGGAAAAGGAACGCCGGTACCGCTCCGACGGTCATAGCGACACCAATAGAAAGTTCATCGCCCCCTAGTCTTTGCAGATGCCTGCGTTGAAGAAAAGAAATTCATTCCAAGTCTTTCTAATGGTTCGGATCAACGTTATCACGCAACAAGCGATTCAATTATTTCTTGAATAGCTCGAGGCTATTCTAATAGACTCTTACAAAGGCAGGTAGTTGTCCATTGCGCCCCAGAAAGTTCCCATGACTAGCAAGACAAAGAACAGGGCGGCGGTCTCGCTGCCGTACCTCTTGATTGCGCTCATCGGCAGTGCCAGCATGCCGCTTCTCGTGTGCCACCACCATTCGGGCGGACTTAGCGGCATGCCGTTCGCCGACAAGGCGACAACGGCCGCAAGAATCATCAGCGCGGCGTGTAAGATAAGCGGCAGCCAATAGGCCGGCCCGATGTCGCTTGTCAAGGTGCTCAAATAGCCGGACAACGGTCCGAACAGGGCAAAACCAAGAGAACCAAATGCCAATTGACGGCCCACGTCGCCGCGACCGCATGATGTCTCCCTGGTCGCAATCACTACCGCCGCGTCAATCAACGCCACGGCAGTCGTTGGGAAAATATCCGCGACCGAGCGTACGAATAGGTACATCCAGAACGCCGCTTCCGCCCAATCTCCGGTACGCTGACACTGGCTTTCCGCCAGTATGCTGCCTGAAATGGAATATTATTGCTGTTGTATATAAAAGGGGAATTCTGTTTTCTTCCTGTCAACGTGAAAGATAAAATCAAAAGATCAAATGAATGAGAGCGTATAATGTTTAGGGTCTTCCCACATTTTTATCGCAGCAATTTCTGAGGCAAGAGCAATCCACTGCTGTCACATAAAAATGATGAGACTTGGGAGAATCGATATTTTCGGAATAAGTGATACTTAGATATCGCAGCCATACGCATGCAATGTTCCTAATTTTACAATTCTCAGTACTTGATTCTAAACAGAACTTACCTGGATGAGTATACGGATCGACTAGATCGCATTCTATGGAGCAAGTCTGATTGAACTTGGCCATTCTTGCTTCCATCTCGAGCGGTATACGACAAGCGAAGTATTCGGCCACGGGATATGCACACCATTCTTTCTCGTTTTCAGGATTCAATGCATGTCCGAGGCTACCGTTCACTGGCAGGATACCGGAATATTCCGTATAAACATGACAGATGATATTGTCGTCCTCGTCCTTGTAGCATAGATGTGGTGGCTCGTTCTCATTCGTGACGTAACGACGATCTTTTTTCGTTTCTTCGCGATCCTCCTGTGGGAATCATAATTGAAATAATCACTTATTGTAAAATAATACTATAAATCATTAATATGACGCTAATGCATTAACTTTTTATGCCATATAAATAAAAATCTTTTTTAAATTAGCAATGAAGATAAAAATCCAATTGCGACACATTATTCTGATTTGTTGTTTCTATATTAATTAGTAGAAAAAAGTGATGTAATTTTTAATGTGATTATGTCACATTTCTTATTAAACGTATATATATGTTTGCAATTAAAAGTGTTTTCTAAAATTGGACTTTAATTTCCTAATTTATATGATAATGTTACTATTTAGAAACACATTTCAATTTACATTCACTAGCATACATTTATCTTGTAAGGCACAAGACTGTCAGGTCAAGCTGTTACGTCTGCTGTAACCGCAGCCTTTACCTGCGCATAGAGTTCACTGTCCAGCGGTGCGACCGTGGTCTCGCCACTGCCATCAAAGAGGTCAGACTCAGCGTCAGCGGTGTTTCGAAACGTCGTCGTACGTGCGATTTCCGCGTGCCACCGCCGCGAACCGGTCGGGTAGCAGGCGTAGTTACACTTTTCCAGCAGCATGGTGCCCACTCCGCTATCATCATCAGTCCAGCGATGGCAGCCGAAGCGATTCTCGCATCTATCTTGTCGCACCTATGGATGTGCACCTTCGTTTAGCAAAACTTGCTATTGTTTAGTTTGAAAAAATATTTTAATTGTAAAATTCAAATATTCTGTGTTGATTCTATAATAATTTTTTCTACTTAATTTTACTTCGTGTACAATTGAAATATTCTCAAGATATTTTGTTTAATTCTCCGAATAATATTTTCGAAGCTATAATCATAATTATTAACCGCACCATTGCTCCGTGCCGATCGCAGTTGAACTTCAAATCCGGACCTTTGCCGCCCGGCGGCAAAGCGCGGTCCACTGTGGGTATCAGCACCAAGAGCGAGTAGAAGAGCGCCGAGAAGATGCAGGCGACGGCGATCATCACGCGGAGGTAACGACCGGTCGAAGATTTGTCATTCTTACTCTGATGACCGGCGAGTTTATCAGCGATCGGTCCCGCTATCAGCGGCCCCAGTATCGCCACCGCCGGCGAGACCATCGACACGAATCTGACATTTTCGATGCTCAGTCCCACCTTCGTCATGTGCAGCGGAAGAAACGGGAAGAGACAGCCGATTCCTAAGAGATAATTACGTCATTAAAAATTCGAACTGATCGCTAAAACGATCGTTTCAATGCCGATCGACGCCTACCTCCGAAAAAGATGAACAGAAGAAATTTGAGCGATATCAGATTTGTGTTGATGAGCTTCTTCTTCGGCAAATCCTTATCCACGTCCACCTTCTCCGTCGACGCTGTCGTGGCCATCGTGGACGAGCTGGCTTGTCTTACTTGGGGACGATCGCGAGTCTACCGATCAATCGGGACGACCTAAGGTCGTCTACTACGCTGACTGATCGCTTATCTCCATCGCGGTACATCCATCCTGCGTGCACTGAAGATTACATCAAAGAAAAATGATTATGCACTGATATAATAGAGTTATTTATAAATATTTATAAATAAATACGATCTCGAGCGAAGAACGATAGATTTTTGCTTGTTTAATACAAATCATGTAATAATTAATCATATTTAAGATCCTATTTGTATAAATTATCGCGATTTTATATATATTTAATTAATAGATACAAAATTAAATTTTTCCAATTGATTCGCAATTGAGATTTAATGTATATATAGTTATTGGAAATTAATTGCTAGCTAGTTGAGCATCACGAGTGCTTCGTAACGACACTTCGCTTGAGTAAGCGAGGTCGTCGAGCGAGTCGACCACTTCTAAATTGGACAGGAAGACAATCGCACCTGCACGCGCGCTACAGGACATCAAAGGTAACCTGCGCGGATGTGATATATCGACGCCACGTGGTTTGTAACGCGGTGACAATAAAATCATCGTACCATATTTGTACCTTGCTTCGTTGATGGCCAACGTGCCTTGAAAACCGAACGATCAATGCAAATCAACTATGTATATTTTCATATATAAAGATATGAGCTCGCAAAAGCTTGTTTTGTTAATTATGCAATTATGTATAAGAATTACGAAATGAATAAAAGATTTAACAAAGTTCTTTCCGATTTATCCCTCTACAAAAATTTGCCGCATTGTTATTTTATGATATAAGTACACATAATTTTATCTTATGATATACATATAATTTAATTGAGCGTCTCTCCAACCGCAATAAGAAAATTGATCTCTAATGAACTCTAAGAACGTTTGGATAGAATAAGAACAGAATTATGTATAAGAATTGTGAATATCTAAGAATTGTGAAGGATCTAACGAAGCTCTTTCTGATTTATCCTGCGATAAAAATTCGCCGGGCTACCAGGTGCGTTTATTATTAGATATTATTGAAGAGAAACTCTTTTGTCTATGGATTAATATAAATGGCGCAAAATCAGTCCGCGACAAGAAAGATAGTAGGTCGCAATTAATATTCCACAGTGCACGCGATGCTTTTCGCAGTGTTCAAACCTTTGTGCCAGCGGGCGAGCAAAAGTGAGTTTAACCTGGAATATGCAGTAATAAAACTTCTTCAGCGTCACATCCGCCGCGCGAGGGGCAGGCATTGGAGAGGACAGAGGCGTTTACTTCTATCGGATCGTAAAGTTCCTCGTACGCGAGAGCTGACATTTATCCGTGAATGAGCTCGTATATATCTTACGAGAGTTGAGAATTCATGCCAAGGTAAGCACGCGTATATGATTACGTGCGGATGCGTTCAAGTAATGCCGCATCAATCTATCCGATCCAGATCCGACGAATTCAGGACACTCGGAGCGTATTTATGTACAATTGATTTTCACCAACAGTATATTAATTATGTTGTGACGAACTCTCTTTATTCAACTATACCATAGCTTTTATTGAAAATTGATCTCGTAAAGCCAGAAATGCATAAAATTTCATAAAACTGACACAATTCTGGCTCTTTCCCAAAAAGTTATAAAGTTCCAGGTACGTTTCAAAAATAGTTCTGTCGATTAGAGCCCGAAAAACCGATATAAAAAGGCTCTGGCAATTTTTTTCAACTCTTGAATGGAAATTTTTCAAATTTTTATGAATTAATCATTCTCTTCTGGCGTTTTTCTTGGAAGTTCTGAATAGTACGTCAATAATTTATCCGTAAAAAAATTATTTCAATCAATTTATTCTTTAATTTTTCAATTATCAAGTTTTTTTTCCACGTTTTAAATACTTGTTATCACTCTTCTTGTTATTACATCACGCCTTTCGTTCAATCTTATTTTCCGCTGGTAATTGTGCAATAAGAGAAGCTGCGAAAAGGAGAACGAACAGTTGAACGGTCGCACAGTAGGCGCGATTTATCTTTGTGTATCCCTCTGTCATTCCGTTAGATTGATTACGTCGCCATCGTAATTGTCGTCGTTACGTGTAAGCAGCGGCATACTTGGTTACATAGCTCCCGGCTAAACTAGCTGGCCGTTCTTTCAGCGCGCGTCTCTCCTCCTACGCCGACTCGCAATTAAATGTCCGCCTCCTCCTCGTTCGGCCGATCGGCATCTTCCGTCCCGCAAATTTCGCACGGTCAGCAATCGCGAAAATGAAGTAATTTGTGCGAATTTTCGTCAAGGGAATAGATTTTCAACTTGTTAGAGAAGGAAATTTCCTTCCATCGCACTGGCCGCAAGTTCGATTTCCGAAATCCTCGTCTTCCGATCTTTCGCGTATCGGCGAAAATCAGATAAATACGTCGAATGCTGTTTATTGAAACAGTGAATTTTCGACAGCACGTTCCGTTACATTCTGTACTTATAATTACGCAATATTTATTTTTAGCTCTGCACTCGTGATATTTATTTTCATGTTCTGCGCATTTGTGATGTTTATTTCCAGTTCTACATTTCGTTTATTTCAGTCGTTTGTTCTCATTCCGTTTCTTGCAATATTTTGATATGCAAGTGGTGGCATGCCCTTGCGCAATACTATAAGTTATGGGCACAATTGATTGCAATTGCGGGGCATAATTGCTGGGTTCTTATCCGCGGACTCAGTTCGTCGATCTTGGAATGACTAGAGCGAGCAGTGCGTGCACTGGAACGGCGACTAGAGTCCTAACTGGGTTAACGACAGGTTATGGAAGCCTCGGATGTTTTTGCACGCTTTTAAAAGAAGCATCTGTCGTGCTTGATGCTCATAAACGCGATGCCGGCACGAATATCCGCGCCACACGAATAATAACGCGATATAAAATGGAATTTAAACTGTAACATCAAGCTCATGAAACGTATTAAGCTTCTTCTGAGAAATCTCTGTGGCTGTTTAACAACATCTATGATATGAATCGATTGCTCACAAGCTAATCTTACTGCACGATAGCACGAACCTCGCGCGACTTTATTTCAACGCGGAATAGTTTCAACTTCTACGCACGATTCACGAGACGATTTCGCAATAAGGTAACTGCGTAAGAATTTTTCACGCATTTTCCACATGTACGACTACCGGCTATAAATAGGAGTGTGTGAACGACGCCTTTTAACTGAGCGAGATTCATCTAATCTAACTTCATTTGATCCGGCGCCCTGATGAACGGAAGTCACAGTCCTACATCAAGTGCATTAATAAAATATATACGTGTGACATTTCCCGCCCTAATTTTACAAATAATTTCTCTCTTTATACAGGAAATTATTATAATAATATTTTCAGATATTATATTTGCACAATAAAGAAACTACGCTCCGGAAATGACAGTCGCTAGATAAATCCTTCAATGTTATTTACCTTCTTTAACTCGTAGTGTTAAATAATTTTCTGTTTCGAAATCGAAACAATTGCAAATTTGTTTGGGACAACCTGGCGTTAACTAACTAAAGAGACACCCGGTATATTCAGCGCGACGTAATACGTCGATTTCGGACGGTTAAGGTTTTTCTTTCTTTATGGTATCTAACTGCTCTCGGCAAGACTGTCACGTTACGTCATCGAAAACAGGTCTCCGGTTACGTCAATATCCAGCTCCATATCGTCGCGAGTCACCGAAAAGTATCCTTTGAATCTCTGCGCGATCGCGACACAGCGATAGCAGCGTGCAGCCGACAGCATCTAAAAATAATTCTTACACACGCTCGTCATACACGTAAAATATCGACGGTACGCCTCATCGGACGCGATAAAAAATTATAATTATTTCCTGAAAACACGCACGCGATACGCGGGAAATGCAATCGTGAAAATTACCGTGCACGTACCGTCTGCGAAACGTGTTTCCTCGGTCGTTCTTCATGCATTTTGTATCTGGTTCCATAATTTTATATTTATGACGCAGCGCGAAAGTATATGTTTATTGACGGGATGTCGATATCGATAAGAGCCGACAATTGCGCTTCTTGCTTTATGGATTGGACGCGGATGGATGCAATTTGGGCGGATGGATTCTCAAGAATGCATCAAATGCTCAAATCGGCGACTACTTTCCCCCTTCATGGCGAGTGAAAGATCTCTTTTCCCTTCTCTTGGGCGAAGACAAGCACTCGCCTTCTTTTCAGGGAACTATTATCTCACCCTTACGAGGGTCGGAATATTCGTGCAATCGTTCCCTCTCATTTTCTTCATTCTGATAATGGAGCGTTTTATTCCGTAAAAAACCGCAAAACGTTATCACGCTCACAGGTGGAAACAAAGATTTCCCTTTCAGTAGCAGAGAAGTCGATTAACGATTGAATCTTTTCGAAAAGCGCGCAGTTCTCGTCTCTGCACATGAGATGCTTCGGTCCTCTAAATTTAGCCCGTTTCGTTGCAACCCCGATTCAATTGCGCGCACGTGCCGTGTAAATAAATAAGACATGCAAAAATTGATACGTTGCGGTTATCGTTCAGTAAAATATTCAAATATTAGCAAGTGTTTCGTGAATAAATAATAAACAAATATCGATTTATTCCATGTAATTTAAAGCACTTTACAATTACATAGCACACAGGTTCGTGCACGATTCGGACACTTTTAGACGCGGTGATGCCCGCATGAAGAATCGATCGAAACTTTGGCCTTTGTTGGCAGATAACAGCGAACGAGTATTCTCTCAAGGCGATTCTCTACGTTATTCCCTGCGCGCTGCCACGGCCCGTCGTTTATCATATCGTTTACCGTACGTTACGTATCTAAACAATCACCGTGGTCGCACGCATTCTCAGGACGCCGCACGCAAACGCGTCCATATAATTATTATCCTGATTGCGTGAAGCGCCGTTATCCACGCGCGTGTGGCCTTCTGCCCGTAGATTAGTCTAACGTGCGACTCGCGAAATTGGGTTAATGAAATCATGGAAGAGG